ATACTATTTTTACGTCTAATCAAGTTCTAAGTTATCCCATAAGAACAGATTTGAATCCCATTTAGATTCAAATTGTGAGAATCCTAGGGATCTTCACATCTTAGTTATTCATCGTGCATAGTATGGTTAGAAATCATTTGACTTTTTTTATTTAAACTTAAACATAAATAGTACATGATGAAAACTGACTGCATTATGTACGATAAACAATTAGGATATGAAAATCCCTAAAATTCTCACAAAATGAATCCGGAAAGAATCCTCTTCCCATAAGAAGTATATGGAGTATGATTGATGTGACAAAGGTAGAGTGACTAAGATTATTGACTAAAAAAAAAAGTGATGAGAATACTTATCCAGTCGAAATTGTACGACATATCTCTCTTCTCTATATCCCTTATATACTTAAAAAAAATATGAAGAGGTAAGGCTTAGAAATTAGAAGCAACAGTGTTTAAAAGTAATAACCATGCTCTCATGCATACGTAGGTCAAGGCACTAGCCGCCCACTACATCATTTAGAAAGGGAAGGCCAAACCTAAGCATGATAATTACTAATTAGTTACTCTTAATTGGTTTGTTGATGAGAGCATGTGGCCAACCAATTATGACACCAATGCTCACATGACCAAGAAAGTTTAATTAATTATAATGACTGAAAGCTAAAGTGTGTTTAGGGTTCTTTTATTCTCAAATTAAAAGTAGGCTTTGATAATCTATGGAGTATCTAATAAATCATAATTGCAATTATTGACTTGACATGCCTTCTTTTTCAACTAGATTGTACCTAGTGTATTGCCTTTCGAAGGGACGTCATGTGTTTGGGGCATCTTTTTTGTTTACGTTGGAAAGGGTTGAAGCCTATACTTATGCTGGATAGTCTTCGATATTCCGTACTATTGGAAAGTCCAACTTGATATTATTAGATTGGTAAGTACCCAAAAATAATATTTCGTTTAACTTTAACCGCTAATTTGTCGTACTATTGAATAGTTCAGATTATTAAAAAAAAAAATTTATTTTGATCTTAACCCATTATTTCATTCTCGCTCGCTCTCCTAAACCATTAATTAACTCTTGCTCAGTACTTGAGTTGACTATCGTGGCTTAGAGCATCTTCAATAGAGATGTTAAAAGATAAATGTCAAATATTAATTTCATGGCTGACGTGGCAATATCATATTTTCTTTTTTTCCATCCGATATATTTTTTTTTATATATAAATGATGTTGTAGGATCCATTTTAAAAAGAAATCAATTAAAATAAATTTTCAAAATCTATGATTGATGCATTAATGGGACCAACATAATAAACGAATTAAAAATTATTTAACATTACATTTTCTCATATGTCAAATTTGACATAGGAAAACTCATATGTCAATCCACATAAAATTGACATATCAGTTGGAGCTTGCTCCTGCCTTCAAATTTGATTACATAACATTCTACTAAGGATTTGACATCTTTTTTAGAGATGATCTTATGTATTAAACATCTTTGGTGTTTTTATGTATTAAACATGACGTAAAGAAACATTAGCGTCTCCTTCAATAATTGATAAAATAATTAACTCCCTATGGTGATCATGATTTCACCTTGAAAAGAGATTGTACTAGATTGGGTGGGATCATTTCTTTGTTTTAGGTGTCAAAATGTGAACCGAACCACTCAAAAAAGAGAAAGTAATTTCTACATGCTTATTTTCTTCACACTCGTATTCATTCTTAACATTTAGATTGAATCAATAAAAAAAAAATTAAAAGGACAAAAAAAAATCGAAGTACACGGAGAAGAAGAATGCAAAAATCATTTCCCCACTCAAAATTAGACCAAGAGCATAACTATTCTTGCCACTCACTTACCAAAGATTGAATTTGAAACTTCCTGAAAATCTTTTCTTGGTGAAATTTGGAAGTAAGAGACCTTAGGTTCAAATCTCGTGGATAGCGAATTTGATACCAAATTATGATGTCTATTGTGTAGTTTAGCCAAACTCTCCCTTCTCTTAATGTAAAAATATCAATGTACTCAAAAGAAAAAACATAACGTTAACAGGTAACAAAACAACCTCTACTAACTCCCAAGGGCTGTGAAGGGGTATTCCAAACGTCATAAAACGACGATTCCAAAACTGCAAGACCACCTCTACGGGCGGGCAATGCTAAAGTTTAAAAAGAGTGGGGGAAAAAAGTTAGCAGAGACATATTTTCCTAAATCGTTTTCGGATTTAACCAGATGAAGGTCCAGATTGGGGTCTGCTCTTCTTGTAGTAACTCCCAAAATCTTTGGGGAACCAGAGCCTCGTATGATGAATCCCCAAACCAAAAAGCCGCCCTTCAAAATAATTTTGACAGATGTGACAAAATGGGGTAAAGTGAAACACAAAGTTAATTTTTAAGCGATTGGTAAGTAAAACATTTTATGTTACACGTGGCAAAGCGAGAATAAGATTGAGTTAAAAAGGTGGTAGTTGTGGAGCCAATAGGGCAACATGTGGATTTGTTTTTCAAGATAGACAAGATTGATTTCACTAAATGGGTAGGGCTCTCAAATATTCCCAAGAGCAACTCAGCATCCATAGAAGTTCAAGCAACGAACAACGACTGATTAAAGCTCCCCACGGCATGGAAAAGTTAAAGGTGTTAAAGATAGGGTTAATAACTAAATCCTATATTTAATACATTGTCAATTAAAGATCAACTCAATCAAGTAAGGAATCCCTATCATAATTATCCCAAGATATTTTCTTCTAATTAATATCTCGGGAACATTCTTTCCTCATTCATCCAATGGATGACATACTGTTGACCCTAAAAACTACCAAGCCTACGTGATGCGCAGGCCAAGTAACTAATAAGCTAACTACGTCATTTGGTTATGCCCGGGGTGTGCCAACTCGATGGCTGAACTCGACTGGGGAGTAAAATGTGTTGATGTTGTGTTGAGAGCGTTGCTGACTTCTTGATCCTGCGATTGTGGCCGAGGAAAGAACAAGTCTCGGCCTTTAGGTTCTAGAGCCTGAAGACAAGGCTACTAATTCTGTGAAATTCACGAATCGTCGACGCCGGGTTCGGTCACGGTGATTATATTCATAAGAGTATAAGCACGCCAAACTGGCACCAGGCTATATGGACACAAGTACTTGAAAGAGATGTATGTCTTGATAGTAAATGTGGTTTGGGCATCGGAATGCCGAACTCTGAAACTCACTTGCGAATATCCAATCATAAAACAACTCGGCTTTCAATGTGCTAAGTCTAGTAACCTGTAACACCTCACTTCGTCGAAAAGGCTAATGAGATGACCTCTACCAACAGGAACTCGAAAGTTCCTGTCGACCAAGACTTGAATATATAACCAGTCGGTCTCGAAGCAATGATTTCTATCCAAATTGAAGGTGCTCCTTGATCGGCTGATTCTACTACTCTAGTGTTGTTTATCCAAACTGAAGATGTCGCATGTTGCCTTCACAGTGCTGTTTATCCAAACTGAAGACGTGTTGGTGGAAGAAAGAGGAAAATGATGAAATCTCAAAGGCTGTTGAAAAGCTTTGGGCGAGGCAATTTGTGTGTTGAATTGGAGGGCCTTGAATGATGCACTTCCTTCTCTATTTATAATAGCAAACCCCCTTATGGCCGAGCTAGAACCGTACTTGGATTAGAACTCCTCAACCTAATCTGATTAGGTCTTGGCCAATCCTAACTCCAATAGGATTTTGAACCAACCTTTTTTAACGAACCAGATTCATCCCCTAAATCTCAGCATCCTCAGCCTTAGCCTTAAGACTCCTTGTTGCACTAAGTCTCGATTACTTTACCTTTATCTAAACCAATCCTCATCGCAGTAGGACTCGGCCGACCCTAACTAAATGGCCCATGACGACTGGACAGCCCAAGATAGAACTCTAAGTAGTCACTGGGCCAAGGGTCGCTAAACTCGGCCCAAACTATCATTTTGGGCCCAAACACATACCTTGGCCAATAAGATGTCATCATGTGTAGGGCAAAACCCTAAACACATGGCCTGCCACTTCCTCCTATAATATAAATAACTTATCTCCACCATATTTTAGTAAGCTTTTTGCTACGCATACAAGCCCTAAGACATTTACTCTGTTTAGATAAACTAACTTAGGCATCAGAAATCCATTGGCCAAACCCCTCACCCCACCTTGCCAAACCCCGTCCCCACCTCGTGGGTGTGTAAGGCTTTGGTCTTTGATCAAAAAAGTTGATTGTTTTATAAGTACAATTTCGTCATAACTAAAGACGGTAGAAGTTTACTACCATTGTAGTTTAAAGAAGCCTTGCTGCCATTGTAGAGTAAAGAAGCCTTGAAAACACACCGTTTGCATCACGCGTGACTTCTATTGCTCAATATAATTGGTTTTGCCGAGTCCGCCCAACATATGGTGATCAGCCCAACATCACTAGGCCACAAACAAGGCCTATTGGACCCGTATGTCGGCAACCCCAACTTGCTAAAATTGGGCCAGTTCAGAAATGCTCATGAACCAATGGAAAATATCTCTCTACGTGGGACCCGATAAACGATAAAATCTTATCTAAGTCAGTAATGCAACATCAAGATTAATAATAAAAACACGTGTCAAAATATGACACGTCTCACCTTCCAAAGTTTCAAAACACATGGACGGACGTAAGCTAGTTCACAACTCGGTGGAGTAGCCTTTTAGCTTGACGACAAGGGCGGATCTTATCTTCTCTATGATATTTTAATTTTTATGCCGACATCAACACAGTACACCTGTCCTCATAAAATGCCAGGTGTCCTCAGCTACTAAAGTGGCAGGAAGGCATGGATGCACTCTAGTGCATGCACAACCCTGCATGTCTACAGTCTACGTAGTTAGCATAAAATGCCAGGTGTCCTCAGCTACTAAAGTGGCAGGAAGGCATGGATGCACTCTAGTGCATGCACAACCCTGCATGTCTACAGTCTACGTAGTTAGCCTATATAAACAACACAATATCTCATTTCAAATCCATCAAAACATTTCATCAAAATCAAATATCAGTTCAAAATGGCGAATTATCAGACTAAATATGGTACAACGCCCCAAGACATAGATGAGTATGGGAACCCGATTCAACAGGGTACTACCGGAGGCTTAGGTGGTGCCACCACTGGTACTGCGTACGGGGCAACAGGAGGGCAGCAACAACAAGAGAGAGGTACTGGCATGACTGGAAGTGGTTACGGGACTACTGATGCCCCGTACACAGGAGGGCAGCAACAACAAGAGCGAGGGATGATGGACAAGATCAAGGAAAAGATTCCAGGAACTGGTGGTGGACGTAGGGATGACGACCCCTACTCATCGAATGCCCAGACCGGTACTGGGATGACTGGAACTGGGTACGGTACTACTGACGCCCCGTACACTGGAGGGGAGTACGAAGAAAGGGGGATGATGGACAAGGTCAAGGACAAGATGCCGGGGACTGGGCAGAGGGATGAAACCCACTCATCTCAGACGACCACCACCACACCTTACGGTGGCACCACCGGAGAGCACCAGGAAAAGAAGGGCGCCATGGACAAGATCAAAGAAAAGCTTCCTGGTGGACGCCATTAAATATATATACGTGTGCGTGCGCATATGTATTCTAGGGTCTTTTGATGTGCTAATAACCGGTGCTTGGTGTGATTGTGTGAACGTAATTTCTTTCTTACGTGCGCGAGCGAGCACTCCGCAGTGTCAGTGTGTGTTTTGTAATCGGTACCTTGTGGTTTTATCAATAGAGCAATAGTATTCTGGTTTCTGTATTTTAACCATATCAAAAGATGAGTTGAATAAAGACACCATTCTGTAATTTTACTGCGCCTCCATTGAACTGGACCGCCAACGGAGAAAATCATTCTTTGGCAACGTTCAATCCGAAAACGAAAAGAAATTAATGGGATTTTTATTAGGGTTAAAATCACATAAAATACTTGTAAGAGTATAAGTGTATTGTAGTATAAATACTCATGTAATATCGTTTTCTTCAATGATTATTTAAATAATTTATGTAAAAACAATTCCTAATTAACTACTTAAGATTAAAAATTCAGAGAAGATTAAAAATTCATAAGAGTTTTTTAATTTGAATAATATTAAAAACGTTTTTAATTAAAATTTAATAGTAAATTCTCCTAAAAATAATACGACAAAAGAAGAGTTTTTTAAATACCAATTTATAAAAACATTAGGGTTCCACTATCATTTAGCAATTCTATGTATTTTTATCAATTATTTATAATCTACATTCTACTTTGAAGGTTACGTTTTCTTAATATATATCCTACTTGGAACCTCCAACATAGAACGTATATCTAACATGTAATCCATTCGAACGTTCAGATCAAATCTGAACATGAGACTCATTATGCTTTATGAAAATCTTTTAAAAAATCATGCAACCCTTAAGATGTGTTCATCTTAAGTGAAATTATAATTATTAATCACAAGAGCCAGCGTCAATTTCAGGAAACCTTCCGACAAAAATTGTATCAAATTACTTTTCTAAAGATCATAATAGTGATCAAGCATTAAGACAATTAGATAGTTTTAATCACGATGATTAATAATTCAAAGTCTGCATGCAATCAATCATAAGCAATTAAATAAAAATTACATATTCATGCTAAGATTCAAGGCTTCACCTTAGCAAAACAAATTCGTTATGCATTCTCATAATAAAAATCAAAGAAAATATCATTAACTAGAAAAAGAATGAAAACATCTTGTATATAAAAAGTCTGAAATTCTCCAAAACTACGCTAAATTCTCTCAATGTCCCGTAGAGAATCCTAATGGCTAAAAACCTTATTTATACTACTCCAAATTAAAACCCTCCTAGTCAAAGGTCCTAGAATAAGACTAGGAAACCTAATAAATTGAAATAAATTAGGAAACATAATCCTAAATTAACTTGGTAAATTCACCCAAAAATCTGCACAGCCACGTTTTGGACCCCAATCAGCTCCAAAACTAGCCCAAAATAACTGGATTTAAAGCTTGAACTATTCTGAACACTTCTCCAGTAGGCTACGAACCCATCTGATGTCATATTAGGCTCCAAAAATACAATTTAAGCCCAAAAACATCACTTTCTAGCACTGCGTAATGATCCTTTATTCCATTGCCAGAAAATAACCGCTTGGTAGAAAAATCCCAAATTTTGAAACGAACACGCCAAGAGACACATGAACGTCCTCCAATTTAAATCCCTCCAAAATTCGTCCGTTTGATCATGTTTTACTCCAAAGAAAGTTGAATGTCTTATATTGAAAATATAAAGCAAAATATCAAAATTATATAATATAAAATCAACTCATCAAAAATCCAGGGTCCCAACATAAAGTACCATTAAAGTCCACACTAGCAATACTGCATATGAAGAACAAAAAGAACCTTTCGTTATATTTTATGATAATTTTGAAGACTGCCCAGACTTCTTTTATGACAATCTTTGAAAATGTTCGGAGTTGCGATTCTAGGTGGCATGGGGACGATAATTGAAACCAAACTTTGCAAAGACGGAGAAAAAGAAAACGAAATCAATAGCTCAAATTAAAAAATATATTAATATTTCATATATCTTCTCACAACCATCATTCATCATGGTGAAGTTTGTAATCATCATTTACTACACAAAAATGGAAGGGGAAAACGTGGCCTTTGTACTATGGGCAGTTTTCTTTTAGTGATTCATCATAGAGGACTTTATAATCTTTTTCCAAACTTAAATGTAGAGAACAAAGAAAGTGAAGATGGAAGAAGGGGCCGGTATTCAAAACAAAAACGGTTCTAGAAAGTAAAAAGGATGAACTATACTTTTGAAAGTGAAAATGGAAGAGGGTTGGTATTCAAAACAAAAATAGTTCTAGAACGTAAAAAGGATGAGCTATACTTTTCAATGAATAGTGATTTGCTTGAAAAAATACTGGTATTTGAACCCATTTAAGTTAAAAGACAAATATTAAGAGATCACATTTATAGTAAAAAGATGAGCTACATTTAAATTAAGAGATCATATATATGTTAATGTTGTCGGCCATGCTTGAGGACGTTCCACCTTAAGGTGATCGGAGTCCCTTCCTCGGTTTGAGATTGTCACTTTTCTTGCCTTATGGCACCTCTTGTCCTCTATAAATGCAATTGATGCTAAGGGTAAACTTATTTGCTAGGCGTCGATCCTCCTCCTCATCCCTGAGTTCATATATGTCGGACTTACCTTGGTCCTTCTTCTTAGTTGGTTCCTCATTTCAGGCTTTGCTTTTGACGAACTCCCAGTAGTGCTCGTAATTAGTTTCAATGTGAGCATGCAGCAGGTTCGAGCGGTATGACCAGTGCATTAGTGGAAGGAGCAATACTCATTCGGCCATTTCTTAGCCAGATAATAAGTGAGGGGTTTTGCCCGGTAGAGGTAAGGCTTGTCTTCGATGTTTGGTGGAAGATCTTCCGAGTCCTGTCGTCCCAGTCAGTGAGATAGTCTAAAACATCAAGGCACTCCGCCAAAGTGGCGTAATCGTATCTTTTCTTGTCTAGCTTTTAAAAGAGAAGCAAATGGACATACAGTCCCTACTTGAAAGCCATGGTGGTAAGCCTCTCATCTGGCTTCTCTACTTCATCCACCTTCGCACGAAACCGCTTTAAGTAAGCTTTAAGACTTTCATTCTTGAATTGGGCGGTCATGCTTAATATGACCTCATGATGTTTGCGAACATCATGATACACTACTACAAAACCATTTATTAGCGTCGTTTTAATAACCAATAAGAAACGTGTATTACTGTTAGATATTAAGCAAAATATGACAAAAAATGGCTGCAGTGGTAGATATAATAAGTGACAGAATTGCCAGTGTTAGGAAATGAATTTTCCGACAAAAATTGTGTCGGATATAACCCACAGAGAATAAATTAATAATGAATAAATAAGAGCATTCTCTGTCGAATAAAACTTACAGCAAATATATTAATAATAATAAATAAATAAATAAAAAAGGACATGAGAGCATTCTCCGTTCTCCTTCTCGTTCTCATTGAGCATTCTTCTCCCCTTCTGCTTGAAATGACCCAACATGCTTGAACCAGATTCTGCAGCTAATGAGCAAACTAGATTGAGCTAATAAGAGATTAAGACATCATATTCTTCAATTCTTCAAGATAGAAGATACTCACGAGAGATTAAGACATCAACAACATTCAACATTTAGCAGTATCTCTTCCCTCTTATCACTTCTATAGCTAAAAAATAAGGAGAAAAAATGGTGCACTCCGCCAAAGCTTCTCTAGATGCTTCCCTTCTTACAGTTCATCCTAAAAATACAAAGTACAAAGCGCAAAGATCAATAAATAGATTAGTAGTATTAGTTGAGCAACCACAAAAGGAAAGAAGCCTACTTGTTACTCAAACTCCTCGACACTCTCTTCAGTTGAGTCCGGTTTAGATTCCACATCAGAGTCATCTTCTGCATCATCTGTGTTGGCATCAGAGTCATCTTCCACATCATCTGTAAAAGGATTAAGGTAACAAGTTAATAAGCACGAAAAAAAAAGAAAGAAAAAAACACGATTATTGATTGTAAAAATAATTTTGAACTACTCGAATAAATCCCTAAATATCTATGAAATCCCAATAAGATGGAGCCTTTATTGATATCTTCCAAAATATGAATTATTCATATCCAACAAAAACATAAATTAAATCATAGGTGGAAGGATGTGGAAGGACTTACAACGCTTTGCTTTCTGTGCTCAAGGGCTTGCAAAGCTTCTCCCTTGTTCATCCATGGTGATTGAAGCAAGAAGGAGAAGGAGAGAAGAGAATGAGAAGGAAATGAGGAGAGGAGAAAAGGGGGAAGGGAGAAGCACCGGTGCAAGGAAGAGATGGAGGGGTTTTATTTTGGAAAATTTTCATTATTGTCGGTTAAAACCGACAGAAACATTTTTTTTTAAAATAAAAACCAACACAAAATTTTCATTACTGTTGGTTATAACCGACAGAAACAAAATGACGTAAAAATCCCCACAAAATTCCCTCTGAAAATTTTAAATTCCACCCCCCCCCCAAAATTTTGTTACAATTTTAAAAATAAAATAATAATTGTTTGGTTTAATAAATAAATGAATAATATGTATTTAAATAGAATACGTTTTTAAAAATTAAACAAATAATTGTTTGGTTTAATAGATAATTTTTACACTTTTAGTTTAATAGATAATAATCCATGTAAAATATGCGATAAAGAAACAAAAAGAGAATTGTACAGTGAAAACGTCATCACACAAACTAAATATTGTCTAATCAATACTTGAAAACCATAAATAAATATTTAGCACAAATTACTTTTCCCACTTCAAAATTTAGGCAAATTTAATGGAGATATGCATTCTACGAAACTAGTTTCCATGATCTAACCGTCAAACTTGTTTGTAGATACTACAAGATCGCAAAAAAAAATAAAAAAACATTCAGAGATTAGGTAACGGAACAAAAGTTTTCGACGGTTATAAACGACAAATCCCAATTTAACAGTTATTTTAGCTCTGGCTTTGATGATTTTTTTACAGCTACACTTCTCGACCTATAGAATGCAATGAACGAATTCGATCTTCAATTTAAAATATTTACACTAGTGGATACCAGAAAATCTTATTTTATACTTAATGGAAGTATAATATTAACTCTAAGTGTTTGTTTAATATACCGTTTTGACGCGATATGCATTCTACGAAACTTTTTTCAACAATCTAATCGTCAAACTTATTTGTACACA